AGGGTTAGGATTTTCAAAATCAACACTCTCTTCATTCTCAACTCCTTCACCATCACTCATATGCTCACCAATGGGATCCTCACACTCTCTTGGTTGCTCAAAATCATCATCATCATCCTCAACACACACATTAAATTGGGATTTTTCACAAACAAGCATCAAGGGTGACAATTGGCTTTCTAACTCTTCTTTTCTTCTCCTTCCCTCCTCAAGACGCTCCTCATTCTTTTTCATTATCTCTAATTGACCTCTCATAGAATTAAGAATCATTTCCTTACTAGGCCCAAGCTCATTATCAAGCTCAATGCACCTAATTTGAGATTCAAAAGTAGCAATAAGGGATTCAAAAGGTATTGAAGGTTGAGGCTCAACAAGAGAAGAAGAAGTACAACCAAGATTGGAAAAATCAACATTAAGATCATGAGCATATACATCACATTGGGGAGTGGGGGCACAATCAAACACATGAGATTCATCATTAAGGGAACGAAGCACATCACAAGAAGGCATGGTAAATAATGAAGAATATTGAAACACACCATTAGCATCAACTTGAGCATGTACCTCATCATCATGAACAAAAGAGGAAATAGAGTTGAAATCATGTGTTTTAGGTTCACTTAATGGATCATGTAACAAATCATGGGAATTCATGCTAATATTATAAGTATCAACACATTGCATATCAATAATAGAATCATGATTACCCTTATTATAGACATCCCAAGCAAACCAAACATAAAAATCCCAAGCATCATCAATTGATAATGCTCTAAATTCACCATTATGCATGCATTCAACTTCATCCCTAGTTTGCTCATTCAAACCAAAATAACAAATCTCACAAGCCTCCCAAAGACTACAACAATAAAAATCCAAATATCCCTCAAGTCTATTGAAATATTCACAAAAAGGCTCATCGTCATATTGAGGAAACGAGTTACTTGCCATTTTTTTTTTACAAAAACAAGCAAAAATTAAAAAAAAAAAATAAAATAAAAAGAAAAGTATACACAAAGACCTAGACTCAAGCAATAAAAAACAATCAAGCATTGACACCGTTCCCCGGCAACGGCGCCATTTTGACGGGCGTTAGAACGGTCGCACATTCCACACTCAATCAAATAAATTTATAAATCCTAAAACTAACCCCTAAACAAGTCTAGTGGTAAGTTCGGAGTCGAACCACAAGGAACGGTAATGTTGGATTGTTCTCGATCTAATGCTTAAGCTACGCCGAAATCGGTTTATGGATAGTGGACACTACAACTACACTAAAACACATATAAAGAACAAGGTATGATAAAGTCTACTAGGGGAAAAGATCCACTTAGAACAATTAATAAGCTATGAGAATCCATTTGATAATCAATCATGCAAAGAAAGAATTAAAAATGGGAATTAATCACCATCAAGAGCAATCTCTCAAATTCCTAGCCTAGATCCCTCATTGACTAGGTGCATAGAAGAAAATTACCCAAAATGCAATCAAATATATCAATTCTAATTCACAATCCCTTGTCAAACTAGAACTAACATGCAATTAAGTGTGCTATCATGGGAGATCAATCCAATCTAAAACAAACAACATGCCAACATCAATTCAATCAATTTAATCACACAATTATCATCAAATTTATCTCAAATAACTCAATTAACCATAACAAAGCTTCACTCAACACCTAGTAGAAGGAAATCTACTCAAACATGATTAACAAAGCAATTAATAAAGCATAAAGAGAGAAGAGAGTAAGAAATGCTCATTGATATAAAATGGAGATCTTCAAATCATCAAATTCCTCCTTTGATTATCCAAAATCCATGAAAACCATTGTGCTCCTCACTTTCTCTCTCCAAAATTTGAGAGTTTCTCTCTCTAAAAACCTAGAACTAACCTAAAAACTATTCTAAACTGAAAAATCCCTCTTCTTTAATGAGTAAAAAAATCTATTTATACCCTTTACAAAATTGCTTAGGAAGCTCCGCAAAAAGTCAGCTGAAACGGGAAAAGGTCCGACCGAACTCTGTGTAGGTTCGGTCGGACTCAGGGTAGGTTCGGCCGAACTCAGGGTAGGTTCGGTCGAACCTCCCTGATCCTTGTTTGGTCGAACTTTCCTGGTTCGACCCCTCCTGTAAACATGCTGAAAACTTGGTTGAAACTGCCTTGGAGGTTCGGTCGAACTTTTCAAAAGTTTGACCACACCTAGGTTCGACCGAACCTCTTAGAGATGTGGTCACACCTCCTCTTGAACTTCCTCTTCTTGCTTCCTCTTCTTCCCTTTTGCTCCTCTTGTCTTTGTCCATGCCTCCATACTTGGCCAAGGGGCCTCCTACCGTGCTTAGGACCGTCATGGAACCTGCAAAAGATAGCAAAGATCACGAGAGCATGGGGATGATAAAATTATGCATAAAGATTATCAAAACAAGCGCAAATAAGCATACTTTTCATCCATAAAAGAAAAGGAAGCCATAAGAGGAGAAAAGAGGTAGAAAACCTAAG